ACATTGCGGTAGTAGTGCTCCACCATGGATTTACGAAAGCGCTCCTGGCCTGCTGTGTCCCATACCTGCACCTGTAGAGACAGACGACTTAGGTTTATATACAAATTACAGAGACAACCGATCATTACATATAGAGACAGCACTGACAGAAGTGGAAAATATAAATGGTATTCTCTTAGAATATCCAGCAGATCATGAAATATAAGACAATTTTAATATCAGAAGTAACAGCAACAGCTTTTTTGTTGCATACAATTACTTGAGATAAAATTGTACAAATGAAATAACAATGAATATGAATTAGGCTGCAATGAGTTGTCTAAGCTTGCAACTTTGCAAATCAGAACATTGCCACGTGAGCAGGAAACAGTGCAAATATATTCCTAGCTACAGGGTCTCAGGAGAGCATTGTTCTACAGTACAGTGCGTTTTTCTGCTTGATCATTAACAGCAGGTTCAGCCAATATCTACAGTATGTATCCTAAAATAATGTAATGTGGGTTAGAAGCAAGTGTCAATCTCTGGGCCTTGAAAAACAAAACTCGAAAAGGCCAGAATCTGCATTTCATCAAAACAAACACTTCCTGCTGGCTCCACAGGTGTGTCAAGACTAGATTTAAATGTCCAGCTTTACAGCAGACATAAGCATAATTACATAATTAAGTACAAAATATGGTTTTATTCTCTTTAGCGCAATTACTTTTCCATAATAAGTGTATATATGTTAAAATGCAAGACTTCACCCACTATTACCTAGACCTATAGACGTCTACAGAAAACAGCTTTCTGTAAACACTATCTTGAAGACTTTATGGGCTCAGTGACTTGTTTGAGTCATATTGAATGAAAAATGAAGTCTGTTTTGTAAATCCTGTTCATACTATCCTTCAAAGTGGAGTATTACCTGAGGTATGCAGGAGTAAATGAGCACGCATTTTCGTAGTAAGACCCACCTTGGTTTTGTTTGAAAATGCTCAAGGCTTTAAAATGAGACTGCAAACAATGAGACAGCAAACAACAACATGAAGTCACAGTAGCTATGTCTAACTTTTGTACTATGTTTGTACTTAAAGACACTCCAATGAGTCAGCTCTTTATTTTTCCAGTTTGTTTATTTCTTTATTTCTTCTATTCATTTTAAACTTTTACCAAAATTAGCATCCTTTACCTTTCTAACCATGTGAGCTAGCTAGACTAGCTAGAATGCTATGTTAGTGCTAGCATTAGCTGAAAACTATTCTAGTTCCAGCTAGAACTAGAATATCATAAACAAAATGATTATGATAGATTTCAAAAATATAAAATATCTGCTGCCAATATACCAAATTTGAGGCTTCAAAAGAGAATTGATCAAATCATTAAGTGTTCTTTAACATATTATGTTTTCAAACTAAATTACGGTATTCAAGCTAGTTAGCCAAGTTCATCAAATGTTTAGAATGTTGTTCACTACCTCAGTCAACAGGGGAGCAAAAGAGAAGTATTTAGCCCCAGCACTGTACCATACCACTGCTTAATGAAGTAATTTTTAATAATTACTGATTTCAGATTTAGCCTTACTAAGGCCATTAGGATGAATCGGAGGTCAGAATTTATTTTCACTAATGCACAAAAACGGTTTTGTTTTTTTTCTGTCTGATCAGTAGCACTTTGTATATCAGCAGGGAGTTCTCCCAACACTTAGCACAGGCCTGCAGTGTAAAAAGGGCCAGAGAATTATCTGCTATTACCATTTGAAAGGACTAGCGCAGCTATTTATCATTGGAGGCAGAACACTGCATCAGAGCCAACCATAACATCAAAGCTCAGCGTTTCGAACGCGTGGCCCTCATGATTTGATAAGTTGAGAAAATTGCATCCTATTTAAACTGATTACAAATGGACATTTTGAAAGTGAATATAAGAGGTACGGCATTATGTATGCACTCAGAGGGAACGTCAGTTTAAAAAGAAACGCTGAATATGTAAATAGCATTGTTTTCATCAATTTGAAATAAGTGTCAAAAGCTACGAAACATATTTTTTCAGGTTATCTCATGCCCTCGTGAGAATCAATGACATTATTTTGACACATCAGTCTGCTTTTCTTTTTATAGTCCTACGCAGGTTTATGCCGTTTGAAGTTGTAAATTTGTATTTTACTTATATTTACCAGCCAGAGGAATAGAAAGCATGGGAGCTGCACAGTTTAATCCCTCTGTACTTAATCCTCTGAATTTTAATGATATATTAGTCTCTTATATCAAAGGTACAAGTGAAATTTTGACTTGTATGACAACATTTTTTCCCCACTTCTAAAGAATGGCCTAGTTTTTACTTCAGCAATGGAAGAGTTCACTTTTACATAAAAAGGCAGGATTTTACATTGACATCTTGGCTCTGGTGCTGAAGGCAAACTTGTGGGGGGCTCACTGAAGGGCAAATTCTCTTTACAGCATCTTCTTTAAGATAAATGTTGGCAGCTTCCTGTCTTTGAATTATCCAATCAGAAACTGCTGCCATCTTGACAAGGTCTCTGTTGAAATAGAGCTCGTCAATATCAGTGGGATTACCAGTTGAACAGAAAAATGAATGTAAAAACAAAACAATAGATGGGCCTGTTTTGATCACTCTTTAAGTATTTTAAAGACATATAGATCCATCTTTAGGGGGAGTCATAGCTGTCTCCTCTTACAGCTGCTTATGCAAATGGAGTTAATTACCAATGAGGATTAATCTTAATTTAATGTCCCATTTCCATGTACTCCACCAGCAGTAACCAGCTCAGAGAGCAGCAACAAGAAAGCAGATATTTTCATAGTCTCACAACAATGACTGTACAGTGTGGCAGGTGTGTCTGGGGAGCATTTGGATGATTCAGATACAATGACCTAATACTACGTAATGCGACTGTGCAACTGTGTTTGTGAGTCAGCACTGGGGGAACCTGGAGTATGCACACAGAATAATCCACTGAGAGAAAGCAGGGAGGGGAGCACACAAAGGTAAGCTTCACTGACATCACAGCGTCTGGTCTGAGTGACCAGCCAAGGTGTGAGTCAGGAGTCACAGTTAAAGAAACGACGAACCAGATGAGTAAGCAAATTATTAACCTTTCATATTCATGCTAAAATCTTGAACCTGTTTTTACACTGTGGTCTGATGTTGGTTTTGTTACGTCTGCCAGTACGCATTGCTCCAGAAATGATCTTCAAAGTCATTACATTTTAATTTCACAATCAGGGCACATGACAGTGTGGCCTACATTTACGATGCTGCTGTCTTTAGTTTGTGACTACAATAACAGCCCAGCTAAGGGGCTTGCCTCACACGTGCAAACACGGGAATGTGGTTATTTTTGTTGATTGAACAGCTTAATTGTTGCAATCACCTTGTAGACCTGCTTTATATTATACATGTAAATGAATGGCTTGCACGTGCTGAAGGTGGACAAGCGCATATTTATAGATTCTGCAGCACCACAGTCAGATTTTGATGTTTTGTTTTTCATTTAGAGTTTTAAAATTCTCTTAAGAAATGTTGCATTCATAGTCAGATTTGTAAAAATATATTCATTTCTGTTTATGTTTCAAACTCGAAATCCACAAAAAGCCTACTGAGCCATACAATAGAATTCATTAGAGGCTACCTTTATCTTCCTGTGGCCTGTTACTGACTACAGAGCATGTGGCGGCAAAGAAAAAAGGGAGTTGTAGTTCTTTAGAATGTACTAAAAATATGTTTTTTAAAATGTTACATTTCTCCAGAGATATTCTAAAATGTTGCCCATCCTTTGAGAGTGTGAGGATAAAATGAAAGAAACGGCCCCTGTGTGTCCACTGGCAGCTGATCAGAGGAGGAGGAAGGGTGTAGTGAGGGAACACCACTGATCAGCATCCAGCTCCTCTGCTGCCTGTTACCTTGATAGTCTCCCCTTCGATCTCCACCACCTTCTCCCTGAAATCCACGCCGATGGTGGCCTCGGTCTTATCGGGGAAGCTGCCCCCCGTGAAGCGGAAGGTGAGGCAGGTCTTCCCCACGTTGGAGTCCCCGATGACGATGATCTTAAAGATCCGCGTCTGGATGCTCAGCTCCAGGGAGGAGGTGCTCAGATCCACGGAGGACGTGATGCTCGGGGCGGCATCGTTGCTGCTGCTGCTGGCTCGGCTCCGGCTGGCTCTGTGTAAATCCATGGATGATGTTAGGATCGTCACATTGTCATCCGCTCGGTGTTTTCTACCGATTGCTCTTCCACAACCACCTCCTCCGCCGCCCGGAGCTCGGGTCTCCTCCTCCGGGCTATCGTTGGTCATTATACCGGAGGAGGCGATGCGGAAATCGGGGTGCGTGTGTCGAGAAGAGGATTGATAGACGGGAGAAGGGAGGGGAAAGGAGAAAAGAAGGAGGAGACGAGGGATGCAACAATACCAACGATGCTCCTTTCAGCAGCTGACTGTGGCCTTAAAGGGAGAAGAATACAATAAAAAAAAAATCAATTGACTAATAATAATAATAATAATAATAATAATAATAATAATAATAATAATAATAATAATAAT